TATTAAACGATTACATATTAAATGTCAGACGAAACTGTTTATAATAGATACAGACGGCGCCAGATTTTTTTGTCGAACAAATAACGGCCGACTTTAATCATCAACATCTTTTAAATCATGCGTATTTTTCTATATAATTTCTACATAAATCGTTGATTATGGAATAATAGTAAATAGCAAATAAAAAGTTTGTCAATTACAAACAACAAGGTAAGCGAAAATCCTTCAGAAAATGATAATTGTTTGCGCGACAATATATGGATGTAATATTATCATTTTAATTTCGAGGTTATTGTGTAAGTAATTTATCAAAATGTGAATTCTTTTAATTCTTTTTTCTTGAACAAAAATTTTACATCTCATAAATATAAATTAGAAAACATTTTTTGCAATTATAACGAAATATCGTTTTATAATATATATATAATCATATATAATCATAATATATAATCATGAAATGTTATTCAATATTTTGACATTAAATTAAAAAAAAATATAAATATAAAAATGTATATAATGCAAAATTTTTTAGCTGTTACTATATATATTACATAGTATTTTTTTTGTTCGTTGTGTTTTAAAAATAAATTTTTTTTCTATGCTTAAAAGAAAACATGCAGAATAGATTCATTAATACTAAAAATAAAAATATCAATACTTTCGATTTTTATTATTAAGAATCTCTTTAAATCGAAATTTAGACAATCTTCGGATATAATATAAATTATTATATTTCATTTATTACATTTCATTATCACGATATAAGTAAGATTTTTTTTTGATATATTATTACTATGGCATTTTATCCTTATGAAATGACGTTGCTAAAAATGTAATTCCTAAAAATTCGATCGGACCACTCCATGTTTTATATGATAAACTGTTTGAATTACACGATCATCTGTGTTTTCCCATCGACGAAGCATGGGTTATCAATTTTCCTCGGACATTGGAAAAATATTATTTCAAGTTGAAGCCAGATTGTTGTTGCGGTGCCAGACGAAATTCCAAGGAAAAGGTTTTTTCAATCTAATACTTAGAATTTTAAAAATGAGAATGAATAATGTATTAGATGATCGTTATTACACATTTTTAGTAAGAATAACTAAGTTAATAATTTTTAATTTTATTTGTGAATATTTTCTTAAATATTATATTTGTTAAATATTATATCAGAAAAAATTTTCTGAAAAGAATGAAAATTTGATTGATTGTTTTTGAGAATGTGAAGTATGAGAATGAAATACAATGTTAAAACAATTTATTGCTCAAAAACTCATATCTACTAGCAAAATTTTTTCATAATTCTATTAATTCTCAGAAGACATGTTACTTAATTCAAGATATATTTAATTAAGTTTTGATCATTAGAAGTTATAACAAATATATATATATATATATATATATATACGTCATACATGCATAGTGTCACAAGAATGGCGCCAACATTCTCATTTCGTCGACATATATTAAAACCTTAAAATATTGTATTAAAAATCATGTCGCACTCGTATATCGACAATAGTTATGTATGTGGGTGATATGCTAAATAGAAAATATAAAACTAAATAAATGTGAAGAATATAAACTCAATATGTAATATAAGATAAATTCTAACGACGTGCAGGAATGCTGCATAATTCAGCTATTAATTGATTGCCATTCATGTAAATTCGATTAATGGAAGCAATGATCGTTGAGAAATAAATGTTTCTCGACCTGCATGCAAGAGTTGTCTTTGATATTTTCAGCGTTGTTCATTTGATGAAAATGGGCTTTTCCATCGTCTTTTATTTGATCATTAATTGGCGCCACTGAAACAGTAAATTATTTATAATCGCATAATTTATGATTGAAGAATTTTCATGACTGTAAAAAGCGGAAATAGGTTTACGAGTTTGATATCAATTTTGCAAGCGTCATGATCGAACTTAGACTACATGATTTACCGATCATGCTCTCTACGCGTTCCATGCATTTAATTTATTTTACAACTCCATGTAATTCACGTCATTCGCTCAAAATACTGATATAGGCTATCCATTTGGATATACCGCACTTGGACGAAATAAATTTTGTTTCTATACTATGATCGCGATCAAAAGTGTATTAGTAGATCATTACATAGATCATTGATAATTAAGATAATTAAAATCTTTTTCTAAATTTGATTATAAAAAAAATTTTTCAATAATAAAATTCTAAATAATAATCATTTTTATCATATATTATTCATAATTTAATAATTTTTTATCTTTTTTTATTTATTATATTTTTATTTTATTATTTTTATTTATCAAAATAAAAATTAACATAATATTTTTAATTTTTAAAAATTAATCTCAAATTTTTAATTCTATCTTAAAAAATAAATATATATATGTATTTAATTTTTATAAAATTTTTATTATATATTATTTGCTCAATCAATTTTTATGGGCGTACTATGATCGAATGATCTAAAGAATTGGATATTTCATAACTACAATTTTTAAAATTAGAAGAAATTTACAAAAAATTATGAAATTCTTCTAGATGATCTCTGAAATATCGGCAGTCAATTTTAGCTGTATACTTTACAACAAACTCGGCGATCATCCAAGATTCCTTTCATATGCTTCGTAAAATTATGAGCCATCGATTTTTTGCACGCAGAGCCTCTGTCGGATCCTTCAGGAGATAACTTTCTCCGCGAAAACACTGAATTGACTTTTCGTCACGTCGGTGGTTTTAATGTTCGCACAACGTGAATAACCTTTCGATACGCGTCCGGTCACTTAGGTATAAATCATTCGATACATACGCAAGAAATTTACATAAACAGTGTACGGATGAGGGCTGAAACCAATCCGGACATAAAACTGGCGAAGAAGAATCGACATAGTGACGACCGTGTGGAAATATTTTAACGTGCGTACAATTATCATCAATAACATCGATTTTCACAAATCTCTTATAATTTGTTTGTTTAATTGAGCAATTCGTTTTAAAATAGGTAATCATGTAAACGTGTTGCACTTATTTGCACGTGAAAATTTGGTAATACAATTGCATTAGAAATTGTATTCAAAAATTTTATTTTATTATTGGACATTTGAATTTTCATACTTCATTTGAATTTTTGTTTATATAGAACAATATGGAAAGATATAAAGTGAAATATATGATAGATATTGATATGAATCAAAAAAAAAAAGATTGAATATATCATTTTTTTATAAAAAATTAATTTTCAAATCGATATCGAAAATTCATTGCGTATATATATTGGATGTAGTGTCATCTGTAGAACGATTTGGCGAAGTTTCACTGCAGTTTTCTTATATAAAAGTTTGTGTTTATTATATATAAATCAATAAAAAATATAATAAAACAAAGTTTAAATCAATTATTTAATATAAATAATATATATGTATATTAAATATATATATATATTAAATATGTATATTAAATATATATATATATTAAATATGTATATTAAATATATATATAATATATAATAATTAATAATAATTAATAATATAAAATAATATAAAAATTTTTTTAAATTTCATAAGTTGATTTTTGATCAAAAATAATGCAAAAAAAATTTATAATAAATTTATAATGATAAATAATATAAGAGAAATTTTATTAATTTATTGTATTATTTTATTTTTAATATTAATGAAATTTTAGTTATTTGTTATCAGTGGTGCCAATATTGATTTCCTTCATAATTTATTCTACATATTTATTCTATAGAAATTAATATATAATAATATATAATAATTATTTAATTATTTTTTGTTAAATTTTCTTACAAAATATAAATCTGATTATTTACTTTTGAAAAATATATCAATTAGATTTTAAGAATATCACTATTAAAATGAACAGTTCAAAATAATCAGTGGGGGAAAGTGCATATATGATAATTTTATCGAAGCGTATATAAACGAATATGTGAATGTACATGCGTGACCAGAGACGTGGATTAATAGATCTACACGAACATATATATTTGCAGATAGAAGGGCGAATATTTCTGCTTTGAATACATAGACTTGGAAATTATAGGGTGTGTATTTAAAGTGATTATGCACATATATTAAGAAAACTTTACATATCGTATTACTTACATATGTATTTAATACATGATAAAAAAGATATTGTGCTTGACGTTAAAATACTCAAAAAATCTTTTATATAGTTATTATAAATATATATCTTTTTTTACATGATTAAAATTTTCTTTTATTTCATAATTATTTCATAATTATTTCTCATTTTCTTTCATAATTTTTTATTACTATATTTAAAGAATGACCATATAATATTTTTTCTATTATTACTTCTTTTATAGAAGTATATTTTATAGAATTAATCCTACAGCTTCAAATAATAAATTCGAATATCATAGCTAGAAATAGAAATAGGAAATTCGATTATCATTTATATTAATATGTTATATATATTAATATATTACTATAAAAAAAATTAAATATTCATATGAAAAATAATTTCAATTAATCGTATATTAAAGATTTAAATTTATTTAGATTCACTATTAATTACTATAATTTTTTTATGAATTATAAAAATAATGAAATAAATAAACAATTTACAGAAGAATAATAAATAAATATTTATAAATATTTATAAATTTAATAAATATTTTTAGAATAATAAATACATTAATAACTATTAAACAAAAAAACAAATGAAATAAAAAAAACTTTCATTTCAAGAAAAGAATTTATATAGAACTAGTTCATTAAAAACGAAATTTTTATGAACTTCATCTTTCTTCAATAATTTGTGTGTAATGCGATGTTTCTGTAAAAAAGTAATAAGGAACCAATAAAAAGAAAAAGAGATATGACTATCATAAATATTATATCTGCTTTCTAAATCAATCGCGTTGAGCTTTTCTTAAAAACTAGCCTTACCATATCTCTAAATCTGATGTCAAGATATCGATGACAAGTGGACATGTCGTGACGCGATACAAGGTTCGATTTCGCGCTGGTCATTCATGATTCCACGTGAAATTAAGATCGATTTCACATCTAACGAGCGTCGGCTTGTGGCCTGGGTGTCGCGAAACAAATAAGAAGGGCGGGGAAAGATGAGATTGAGCCGGTTGGTCGTTCAACCGAGCCAGTTACAACAGACGGCGCCCATGATCTGGTCAGTTTGGCGAAGAACGTGAGAGTAAGTCGCTCCTGGAGCGAAAAGAGGAACAGAGAGGGCTGAATGAACGAGTAAAAAAATATTGTGACGACGTAGTGAGACACGTGTGCAAGACAAGAACGAAGACAGGATTGAAAGAGAGGAAGAAAAAAAACGTTATGACGGTAAAGAGGTTAAGGTGTGAAAGAGATGAGAATATATGTGATTGAAAAAGGCGAACGAGTGGAAGAGGAACGGGGATAGTATGACTTGTTGGGAAACAACTAAAGAGGGAGGAAGCGAATATGTATGTGAGTACGTGGGATGGATAATACTTCCTTGGCGCGTGTAATGTACTCGTCCGACGGCGCCGGCGCCTGCATATATTGCTCTTTCTATCTTTTTCTCTGTCTCGAAGTGAGTATTTCATTTTCTATCTCTCTTTCTACTCTTGCCGAGTTCAGTGTATTTATAGTGTATTATTATTATAGTATGTTTACGTGACGTGACACAGATTCCACAGAGATGCCTCCTGAAAAATCTATATGATTATGTCTGGTGTGTGCAAAAATTTTTGGGACGTGTCTAGAACGAGGTTATGGTTGTTATGACGTATGACATTGCATGGCTCTTCTAAACGTTTATTCTCGGTTTGGAAACATAAACAAATATTATTAATCATCGATTTTCAAATGAAAGATTATTATTGCGATACATAAAAGTATTTGATATACATACTTGAATCGTTTAGTCAAATTACATAGTAAAAGATAAAAATGATAAATTTCAGTATTATTTTTCTATTATTTTTTCTATATTATATTAATTATGTTAATTGACTATTATAATTATAATATTTTTAGTGGATCAAGTTGTATTGTTGTGCAAGTTTCTATTATATTTGAAAAATTAAATATTATATGTGAAATTAATAAAATAAAAAGCACATATATATGATGTAAGTATTTATAGATATTTATTATATATTTAATTATAATTTTATATTTAATTGTTAGTTTACATAGCAAATCGTGACTTGTATGTAAATATTTAGCGACGTAAACGAAAAATGGCATTTATCTTCGATTTAAAAGAAAAAAAGAAAAAATAAAAACTAGGACGATATAATATCAAGTTTGTTCATTTAAATTTTTCTTATTCCATTATAATACAGTTATTATTATTTTTATTGATTACTTATCGATAATGAATCTTGACATTGTTATATGTAAATAAAATCAACGAGCAAATTTTTCTATTTATATATTTGAATATCATGTATATTCTTATATATACTATAATATATATTCTTTACATAACCTCAATTTATTTGATAAATTATTTGCATTTTAAATCGCAATAATTTTTATCAATTATATCTTAGTTATTAGATTTTTCTATAATATGATCGAAATATCCAGTAGGCTAGATTTATCGTTGAAAATTCTTCCTAAAGATTGAAACCAAATGATCAGTATAATCGTAAGGTATCTTTGAAATATAGGGATGTGGCACCGTCCTCAATTTAACTATAACGAATTACCTTTCACTATGATATTAATTTTTACAACAAATATTTAATTTTAATAACAAATATCTCAGAATTCGTAAAATTTCTAATTTCAATACTTATCTGCGCCAAAATACATAATCATGTTGCTGTTTTAAAAATTTCAGATTCCACGATGTAATGAGATAAACGACGAATGGAATGGAATATTTAGCATTGATGTTTATAAGCTATTCTGTTAACTAAATAAATGAGCGATCAAAAAAAGGGTGAGGGGTGAAATATTTTCAAAAATCAATAGCATGTATCGTATTGTGCCTTGGTCGAGACAGGTGTCTCAATTGCGGCGCCGGAAAGTCGTAAACTGTTTTTCGGACTATAAGATCTTTACCAAAATCCCGATACCGAATGGTAGGCATTATTTACACCTCGTGGCGTGTTGTAAAATTATATATACACTTGTGTTTTTTCACGCTGTCCACGCCTGAATATATTCAGATTCATTTAAATTACAGAGAGTAACCATTTCGCATCTCTCTTTTTCTTTCTTTTATACTTTCTTTCTTTGTGGAAGTATAATAAAAAATTTCCTTACATAAATCAAAAGCATATTCAAGTATTCGAATTATGGAATAATGAAATAATTGAAGGAATTGGAGAAATGATGATGTATATATAACGAAATGTTTTAATGCGTGAGTTATCAAAATATAAAATTTGTAAATTATATCTTACACATTATAATTACAATATTATTTCAACTAATAAATATTACTTATATAATATACAATTAAGTAACAGAATATTCTCTATATTTTATTCTTATTCACAACTTAGATGTATTAAGAAAATCTGGTAAATGAAGAGTTTCTTAAGAAGAAATACATAAAAGATTCAAACATATATTTTCAAGGATTACTATATTTATAATAACATCTATTACTAAATAAGAGGCATTCAGTTTAAATAATATAAGGAGATTCTTTTGTTGCATATAAAAACAGTAACTCTTTAAAACTCTTATATAATAATTTTATAATAATTTTATAATATTAATATTAGTAACTTAACAAGTTAGAGAATATAAATTATAGATTTCTTTTTTATGAGAAACAGACAATAATTGTAAAATCGATTTAAAAAATATCATTTGTTTTATTACTAAATTTATAAGTTCTAATTTACAATTTGTAAATTTTTATAATATTATTATTAATAATATTAATCCATAATTATACCCAAAAGGATATTTATTAATATAACGATAATTTTTTACGTGAAATAAAAATGTGAAATAAAATATCGAATTGATATGAATGTGTATGTATAAAACAAAAACATTGGCGACACCGCTTTTGACATCCTAGAATGATTCGTCTATTAAAAGTTTCAAATATTAGAGTATTCAACTGAAAGATGTGTGAAAACAAGAAGCTTTATTATATTTCATGATCGAACGTGCTTCCGCACTCGACATCCGGATTATCCTTGGTTTATGAAGAAAAGAAAGCGATGAGGGAAGGTAGACCAGGTGAAACTACCGACACTTATCTTATTGATGGTAACTTTATTCATCGGATCTGTGGAGTTTGAGACTCAGTTTTTCGTAGAATCGGCTATTGTCTCGGAGATTAATGGTCCCGCGCGAAACCATTCGTCCTGCGAACACGAAGACCCGAAAAATTTCGCTTCTTTTGTGGCATGTTCCTTTTACCTTGCGATGCCATGGCAAAAAGGAAACGGGCCAGTTTCGATGTTCATTCAAGAAATTGAATCTTCTAAAAGTTTTATTTTCAAGGAAAAAACCTAATCTAACTCAACCTAATTTAATTTATATTTGATTTTTTGGCTTATTTTATATGTCTATTATATATCTTTCTGTCATGTCTTCATATATTGCATATTTATTTCTAGAAAGATATATTGAATTATTGAACAAAATTCATATTTCTGTTAGTAGTTATGTTGATGGAAGTATCAGGATGGAAGATAATGGAAGATGATGAAAGACGATAAAATAAAAATGATGAAGAAATTATGATACAACGTAGATTTTATATTGTTTGAATATCTTTGAAAAGTATTATTATACTGTTTTTCTATTGATAATGATTGACATATTATAGTGTCTTTCTACTAATGATTACTGACGTTAATAGAATTATTTTAATAGAATTTATGAAAGAATAATGTAGATAAAAATGTTTAATTTTTTTCACAATATAAAAAGAGATTTGAAAAAATTGTCAATAGACAGATAATAGTTAAAATTTTATATTATAGAGGATTTCTCTGTTTATCATTATAATTTATTTTATTCTAAACTAAATAACATTTCTAGCGTGAAAATTTATTAATCAATAATATATTAATCAAAGATCACTATTGCTTAAATATTTTTTATCATAAAAAATGGAAAATTGAAATATTCAATATTTAAATAATATTTTTGCTAAACAATTTTAATGAATGTAAAATATAAATTATATAAAAATATTTAAATAAAATAATAAAAATGCATTATATGTGATTAATATGCGAATAAACAGATTTATTCATGAAATATGAAGTCGAATTTTAAAAAAATGGATGCTATATCATAGATAATAATCAATAATAACCACTAATTGATTATTTGAAATTTACATTAGAGATTATATACTTCAAATTTTGAATTCTAAGAATTCTAAGAATTTTTTTATTCTTATTAGTTAAAATTATCATTTAATCATTGTATGTTATGTTTTTTTTTTTGTAGAATATATGCACAGATTTTATGCGCATAAATGCATCATATGTTATTTGTAACGATATTTTGTGATAATACAGCATTAACTAGCATAATCTTGTATTATGTTGAAACTTGTTGTTATGTTTTAAAATATGTAGGCATAAATATAAAGAGAAGACTACTTTCCTTTATTATATGATGTGATCTCATTTTCAGATTTGAAAAATGCATGTATGTGCACATACATATACTTTTAAAAATATTTTCGTTTGATTTTTCGGATATATAATATGAAATAAAGTTTTTATTTTGAACAAGAGAAATATTTAAAATATTTAAGTTAAAAATTACATTTCAGAGGGCTAATAATGAAACATAACCTAAAATCTCGATAACCTAAAATAGAAAGATATTTATATCAGTCTTCATGTCTTCATGCTTTAATTTAAAATCTATAATAATTATATTATAAAAACTGAATCTTAATTCAATTTATGTAAAAAGATACTGAATATAATTATAAATATCAATACATAAATTACTTTTTCTTAAATAATATAATTTAGATATAATTGTGAATATCTTACTATATTTTAGAAAATTATTTTTTTCAAGAGAAAAAACATCGCTAATAAAATAATTTTATAACCATAAACATTTGTTTGAATTCAAGCCAACAATAATACACAATACGATTTTGTACAACATTTCTGTAATCGAAAATTAACAAAATATGATAAATTGATTGATTGTGGTTGTCAATGTTCTTGTTTTTATGCGTTGTTTCTTTTTTTAAATTCTACTTTTTTTTAATTCTCTGTTATCATTACTTTTAGTCCTAAAAATTAAAAAAAATATATATATTAAATTGTCCAATAATATTATAATATAAAACAATAGTAATATAAAAAAAGAAGAAAATATTACTTTTAAAATTTTTGAATACATAGATCGTAAATAATATATCCTTATAGTTTTTTATAAAATCCAAAGAATAAAAACATAAGAAATATAAGAAAAAATATAATATTCTATTGATTAGAAAATTTTTCATATCAAATAGTTAAAGCCGAAGATTCATTTATCCGGATAATATAAGAAATGAATTATGATAAATTTACAACATTCAATCTATATTACATTTCATGATTGCTATGCATATTTAAATTATATTTAAATTTTAATCAATAAAATACAAATATTTGATATTTTATTTATAATATTGTTTTTTTTGTTCTAAAAGAAATATATATTATTATTTAATAATATATTTTTAATCTCTGTAATACTAATCTATGTATTCAGTAGTATAACTATATCCTTGTACCGACTTGTTCTGATATTTCGTTACATTTTATTTATAAAAATATTATTTCGTATAATAATAAGTATAGAATTTTTAATTTTATAATATTATTTGAAAATGCACAAAGTATACCACTTATAAAATTGCATCAATAGATAGATTGAAAATAAGAAATAAGCAACGATCAGTCATTGAAATTGGTTGCTTTCGTAACTTTCGTAACTAATCTCGCAGGAACATTTTATTTGTTGTATAAAACGCATATTGCCTCACGAGTACATAAAATCCATCGAATATAAATAGTGTTTTATACTTCTCAGTCAGTATCCAATAAAATGTTGACAAACTAGCCGATCTGGCTCGCCCACTGAGCCTTTAGTGAAAGTGGAAAAGAATTAATGTGAGATTAATTTCGTTTTATGCAGCCTAAAGTTTCTTGGATGATCTAGTGAGATTTTTTTTATTAATTTATATTTCTTGAATATTTAATATCTAGAATTTATTTTTAGAAAAATATATTTTTGAAATTTTTCAAAGATCAAACTATTTGTTTGTATTAATTTTAGTAAATCAGAATCAAGAAGAATATAAAATTAACAATTTTTTAGTTAAAATTTATTAAAAATAATCTTTTTCTTGTTTTGATATTTTGTTAAAATACTTCAAAATTAAATCAATCCAATATTATATTAATATTTCATTTTTTTTTTTTAAATTTTTTGAATTAATTCTTTATTTGTTTCTTTTTGAAATTATAAAACTATATGCTTTAATTTGAAATTATAGAAAGAAATTTCAAAAATATATTTATTATCTCTTTTATTATTAATTTTTATCTATTTAAATTTTACAAATTTTATAACATATTTTTAAATCATGGAAATTTTTGTATAGATATATTAACATGTATGATTGTATGATATTAAATATGTATGATTTCAATGATATTAAAAATTAATTGATAAATATATTTATCAATTATAATATAATCAATTATATATAATATAATATATTTATCAATATTTACATTTTTCAATAATATTGAAATTAAACGATAAGATCGTTTATTTTCTCAAATATAAATTAATATTCTTTTTATATCAATTGATAAAAAATAAATTGCAAAGAAAAGGGGATGAAATAATACTCAGCATAAATGTTGGTATGTAGTCAAAAACGAAGGGGTCCACATTTGGCATGTGTCGACAATATCTCGCTCTTCACATTCCAGGACGAGTCGACAATAAGCATTGTGTCTTCAACACGTTATAAGCGAGCAATGGCTTGACTTTATTTCTCAGTTCTAAGACTGGCCGCGAAGAGAAATATCATTGTTAGAAAGGACAGCAGAAGATTCTCTACAAAGCATTACATCCGTTCATCGAAAGTTGAATAGAAATATTTTTCTCCCTTCTATGCTTTTTTTTTTATTCTTTTTTTATCTCGATTTCTCTTTAATCCGCCTTAAGTTTTGCCAAAAATCTATTTTTGTTATATATTTATTAAATATATATATTGTTATATATATATATATTTTGTTATATATAAGTTTGTCATAATTTGTCTTATAAATAGTTATTCAAGTTATTCTTTTACACTTTTCATTCATCTTTTTCCTTATTTTTATATCTTGCTTCCTTTCTCCTTATTATTTTCCTAATTTTAATAAAAAAAAAAAAATAATATTAATAATATTAATAATTTATCTTTAGTTTTACGGCTTAGTTTATTTACAACATATTTCTTATTTTTCATGCAAATTTTCATTTTGTTTTTCGAAGGATATTTTATCTTTTTAATTAAAAATTAAAAAATAAGTTAATTTACATAATTCTTTTTAAAAATTTTGCATTTAAAAAATACTACAAAAATTAGAATTCGATTATAAAATAGCTATAAATGAATACTTGATCATTTCTCGAAGCTTATAATTAAGCTTTTTTTTTATTTTATTCGACGTGTGATCTCGCGCAATGATCATTTCTTGAACGCCACCATGGACAGAATTCCGACCACAATACAAAATTGAAATAAATCATTTCGTGATCTTTTGTACGTTACCAACATCGTGATCCTTTTTTTTTCCTCGTTATATCTATAATTTGAATCTTCGACTCCTTGATCAGAATTTCGATGTGTAAGTTGTACAATTGAATTTTCTTTTGTGGATGTCGACAAAAATCTTCCTTTTGATCCTTTTATTGTTTTTAAACATTGAAATTGATAAATTTTATAGTGGATGATAAAAATAGGAATTAACAATAAAAGTTTTAATAGATTAGATTAAATATAACATATATAATTTTGATTGATGCAGACATCAGCGTACTGGAATAGATATAAACATTCGTTAAATATAAATTTTTATGACATCGGTTTGTACTTTTACAGCTTTATTTTGGAAATCATATTGAGATCGAAACTATGTGTATATTAAAAGTACAAACTATCGAAATATAATTTTTTATGATATTATGAAATTAATTGAATTACGATCGATATAAATAATACTTGTTGCTTAATATAATTCTTAGTGAATTATGTTTCATAATTATTAGCAAAATAAAGAATTCTTATTACATTTTATGATCTTTTTTTGCATTGTATATAAACATATTTTTCTAAAACTTTTTTTGTATATATGTTTTTGAAATTATTTTTTATATTTTTATTTTTATATTTTTTATATTAAATGCATTTTACTTACCTTTTATTTTTATAAGTTGGAAAAAATTTTCGTTACAGTATTTATTTTTCTATTTTACCATTCATTTGGAACAATTATATTTCTCTCATAAATTATAATAGGTAAACTAGACGATTCGTAAGAACTTTTCCTATCATAACTGTCGCTTGAGGCTACCAATCAAATATGAGACGTGTATGCGCACAAGATTATTTTCGATTCGGTGCGCATCAGCGACTCGAAACGTGTCAGAGACGTGTAAATGTCACGGAAAAGAATCACCACGCGGTTTATCGCCGGATTAGACGCTTTATAGCTGGAACTTTCAGTTCCGAAACAGTCTACGGGAGAAGAAAAGAAAAATAATAATAATAAAAACATCACACGCATCTCTGTGTCCTCCGTTCACACATCAAGGAAGGAGAGGAGCGGAGTGAGAGTTCTCTGAGGCGGTCTGTTCGCGAACACAATCTGCCGTAAAATTCGTTTCGTGGCGGAAGATATTTTTCTTGGAAATGAATTCACTGAGCGTCGTCCACGACGAATGTGCATCCGGCTTAATGCCCTGCTGCAGAACGAAGAATGCCGCAGGTATCTCACGTGGAATCTGCGAAAGCGTCGTCCCCTCTCGCCTTCGAACGCGAGACGCAGCCTCGGCCTCTCTTCGCCATTTTTCTTTTCTCACCTTAAGGCCTCACACGCACATGCTTCTCTCGCCTGTTCCCTTTCCCTCTCCTCGCGCATCCGTCGTTGCACCACCCCCACCACACTCCGTTCGTGCCCCATCGTCACCGCAGCCCTCTCCTATCCTTGTCACTCCTATCACTTTCCCTTGTCACTCGATCTCTCTTCCTCTAGGTCATTCTCTTCTCTAGTCAACCGTGCATGGGCAAAAAGTATAACGGCGCGACGATGAGACGGCCGCGCCACGATGTCGACAGACTGTCCTGCGAATTTTTACAAGCCGCTTAGCAATTAGTCACCCCGTCTTAGGGACTATTTCGTAACGAGTTTGCCGCTGCCAGTCCCGCCAGTGGAATAGAAGAGACCGGTGAGGAGGAGATACATCTCCTCCCGTGAATCTTTCTTCTCCCTCTACCACTTTTTTTCTTCTTTTTCTCTCTCTTCTTTGCCGTGGTTTCGAATCTGTATCCAGTCGATCTTTGGTGTTCGAACTGCCGAATAAAAGAAGGAAAAGAAACCGTATTCCTTTCGAGAACACCCTTCGCCGTTCTATTTTTAGATTCGAAGTGAGATTCGGGGGAGCAGCGTTGAATCGTCTGTCCCGATTGAAATTTCGTTACGGAAGGAGCATTAATGTCTGGTTTTGGAAAGAGACGACAGCAGTAGTGTAAATCGTGAATTACACTTCTTCGTTGATGCGCAGATATAGATTATATATAACTGTGTTTTTACATATATGTATGTGATGGACATATGGGTGGATTTGTATCCATTTATTATATAGACACATTTAATATCTACGTCATTTCGACACATGAATCAACGAAATCGAATTCATTGTATATGTATAATACTCAGTTCATTGATGTATTTCCATGGATATTTATCTTCTATATATCCGGGAATTCCTCTTTGTCGCTTAATGGTTTCGTAAAACGATCGCGACATTTCCATTTCCATCGTTTCATCACGTTACATCATTGGTGTAAAAAAGCTGCATAGAATTACATCGTAATATTCCGTTTCTTACAAAGTCTGACGTGTCATATTGGTGTCCATGTTCGTCGTATTCTGTTGTTGGAAATGTACATGAAACATTCATAAAATATTCATCAATATGTATTAAGAACGAATATAAATCAAAGGTTGTCTAGCTTGTTTTATTTAGCAAAATAAAAAAAATTATAAAAAAAAATGTTCTTTACATATTAAAAGAATTCTTTTTTTTATGATTTTTTGTCATAAATTATTAAATATAAATTAAACTTTAGTGTGGAAATTTTTTACTTGATTATCTTAACTAATTCAATTAATAAAAAACTATATTTAATTAGTAGAAGAAATAATGCAAACAGTATATTTGAAACCATTCTCTTAAGACTGATTAACATTAACGTAAAATTATTTCTAACTAATGTTAATTTCTAATTTGTACATATGAAAATGAGCATTCATTTATATGAACTTGTTTTCATTTACCATACACATTTTTTTGATATATTATGATTTTTGCATATTCGAAAAAATGAAAAATATAAAAATAAAGAATACAATTTATACAAAATTGATAAAATTTAAATTGTAATAGAAATAAATTTAAATTTGTAATAGAAATAAATGAACAATGGATAATAAAACGCATTTCAAGTATATTTAGTTAATATTCATCATTTCTTTTATAATCTTAAGAGAATTAAGATATAATAATTCTAATTGTATAATTTACAAAATATCGATACTAGGATAAAAAAAATTTAGATTTTAAAGAAAATTTGTAATAGTACTTTTATATATATTAATTATAAGAATAAGAAACATTGAAAATATTAAAGTATAAAATAAGTGTATAAAATATATTTCTAATCTTATTCTTTTACTTCAATAAACATATAAATCAATATGTCAATAATTTGGAAATATTTCTAATACATATATATAATCGTGAAAGCAAGGAAAGTATGAAACGTCAAAAAATTACATTTCGTTCTTGCCATTCACTGATATCGATATATATTCGCCGAGTTTAGTGGTGCGTACTGGTTCCATAGTGGTAGTGCTGGCAGCCGAGTGCGATGGTAGTGGAAATCATGATAGTGGTAGTGGCATGTGGTAGGGTACCCAACGCGTAGTGACTCTCGCACACTTCTTGAACACAGTCATTCGCGACACCCACCGCGATCGAGGTATCACGAACGGACGACACAAGTTCTTTACGTTAACCCCTGTTCTTCTCCCTCTCTACTGTTTCTTTGCATATATATATATATATATATATATATATATATACGTACGTATATGTATGTGTGTATATATATATATGCATTATTGTACATATATGTATATGCATCTTTTGACTGACAAGACTTTTGAGAAAAGAAGTTAGCTGTACATACAAACGTTGTATCTTCTATTCTAAACTATATATATAGTGATATACATGTAAAGGAAGTGTGTAAATGCACGCGCGCGCACTTATACGATATATAGTATATCGAGCACGTAAAGTTGCACGCATACACAGAGTACGGGTTCCGGTGCGGCAGCGTGGTCGGCTATCCCCATAAAAGCGACGGACTCGACTGGCCGGCGGACAGTTGTCATCGTTGGCTACATCGGCGCATCGTGTCTGTGCTCTAGTCGTGTTTCGTCCGAATAATCGAGATATATCGGGATAATAATTTTTTCAACACAAAAACAACAAGAGTTCCTTTACCGTCACGACATCTCCCACGCACGTGAACCCTTGAAGCCATTCAGCGCACTCTAAAGGATATGAAATGTACTTACGCGTTCCTTGAATTCACGACACAGATAGCAACGGAAGGAAAATAGTGAATAAAGACACGGTGCGAGCCGGTTATTCGAAGTATTGTACTATGATCTCGTGATCGATTGATTTTGAAAACGAAAGAAAAAAAAAGAAATCGATAAGATTGGCATTTTCGTTTACTCATAGATAACATGATATCTCAAACGATCATTGCCGAATTTGATGCGCCATAACCACGTTTGTTCATTTCACGCAAATTGATATTATTTATTAAATCTTTTATCAAATTTTGACATTTACCGGATGATTACGATATACAGCACGTGGTTAAAAACTATTATAAGAGAAGAAAAGATAAACTAGTAATACTGAGTGCAAGCGCCAGACAGAGCGACGCTTCCGCGGGCAAAGCCGTGTCCTGTCTCGTCTTTCGTATGTATTGAGTAACTTACACACGGAGTGTGCGCACGTAACTGAACACGTATATAAATACGTGAAGTTGTCACGTACTGACCAACGACGCTCTTGCACACGCGTATACGAAAACGAAAAAGCAATTCGTCGTGGCGCAAGCGCGAAAGCAAAAGCTTTTTCGAGCGAGGTAGCCGAAGGAGAGAGACGGTGGTGCCGATGATCAGATACATCGGATTCAGTGGCGGCACGGACGTAGAGAGCAAGTCAAGTAACAGCTTCCCACCAGTCAGTCACTCACGATCGGTTAGTCAGTCACGGCAGTCACGCGCCGACCGTGTCAGACGCACGCTGGTCTGTTGGTTCGCGTGTAAAGAGGCCGGTGAACAGCGAAATATAAATGGGTGAAAAAAAGATTTAGTGTCAACGTCACTAATTGAAAATCGTGCAATTATAATCGTATTTTTTGTAATCGATATATACGGACAAAAAATATCGCTATACTGCGCAAGCGCAATGCAATACTTCGCAAACTTGGTCAAGATTTGGCGTTGACGATCACATTCAATTGTAACGAACCGGCGAGTCAAACGCGAAAAGCGCAAGCGTGTGTTTTCAAAGTGAGTCTCATCCGTGTCAGAGACGATCGAAAATGGTCGCCACTCGTTAATTTTTATCGATAAATTACGTTTATTCATTTCTAAATCGTTTTTGTTATCATAAAGTCTCGGAATAATCATAGCCATATCAGATGCGCATACCGGCGTTGTTGCATCGTGAGGAACACGACAACGTATACAGGGCTCGTAGGTTAAGAGAGTTAGTGAGGTGCGGAGGTGCGTGGAATTGTGCGCCGGTTAAAACCGTGACAGAGAAAAGAAGAGAGAGAGAAGTGCCAAGCACTATACGGCTTGCTTACCTCCCTGTTTCGTGTCCCTCTCGTCTTGAAACTCGTCGCTCGTTGTGTACCGCCTTATAAAACGCGCGCGCAGTAACACGGAACGCGCGACGACGACGAGAACGAGAAAGAAGAGCGGCGGGGAACAGGCAGAGAGTTAAAGTCGTACAAACTCTCTGTGCTCTCTCGGTAAAAAAGAGAAATAAATAACGATAGTGCAAAAAGACGAGCAAACAAAGAAAGAAAGAGTGAAAGAGAGACACCATATATATATATAGAAAGAAAGAAAAAAGAGGATAAATAGATAGATCTCTCCGCATGTGTGGAACTGGTTAAAAGAAAGAAAGAGAAAAAAGAAGAATAACGAACCTGCGTGTATACCTTAGCCTATTAAGCCGTCGGATGCGCTCGTTCAACGTGTCTCGAACGGTGCACGATACCTCGTCGCGTTATCTGCAGTAAATATTGCGGCTAACACACGGTCTCTCTGGGTCCGCTGCTGATTGTTTCTAATCATTATCGCACACGTTCGCGACCTGTGTACGCATACTATCGTCATACTCGCGTTGTCACCGACTTTTTCGTGATCATAAACGTTGCCGCGATATCCGTCATTGTGTCGTTACATATATATTATTGTTATTATTCGCGAACGATTCTTTATATCATCGGTGTATCGTCGCGCGATACAGGATCGGAAAAAGAATCAGAGATGGTGTGAGACAACAGGCAGTGTCGTAAAGAGTGCAGAAAGTTTTGTGCAGTGAATGTTCGTTAATAGATCAGTGTTGCGGCTCTAAAGACTAGACAGAAAAAGGGCATACGTGTTTAGAGGTGTATAGAATGAGACAGATAATGTAAGGAATAGACAGAGTGAAAAAGAGGTAGAAATAGAAAATACGAGAGAGAAAAACGTATAAGTGAAAGAGAGACAACGCATAGAAAAAACGCGCTATATGCGTTGAAGCACTCGTGTACGAGTGCCAGCGACGAGACAACGAATTGGACGTACGCGAACGCGAGTGTGACAGAAAAAATAAGAGAGAAAAAGATAGAAAGAAAGAAAGAAAGAAAGATAGAAAGAGAATCAAAGATATCACGAAACTTTTTTAAAAGTACCGAAGATGCATTTCCACAGTAGTCTATTATCGATTTTACTTATCGTCATTTCTTGTCCTCTGACTGTTCGTACACGAAGAGTTGCTCCCTTAATCGAGGAAGACTGGGCTAGAAGGCCTCATCGCGCCGCCGGTAAGTCGCCATTTCAGTCTTTTAATTTCAATTCGTTCTTTTTTCATATTGCACACATTTTTGATCAATCATGGAAACATAAAAAAACTCAAAATTTCTTGATGTCAATATTAAGTATTATTATATAAGAATGTTGCTGTTCGATATTTTTATTTGTGTGATTTTATATATATGCAATTTTTTTCCTTTAAAGGTTAGGAAATGCTCGAAAATACCAAATTAGTTGTAATTCTCGAACGAATAATCTGCCACATTTACGTAATGAAAGAGTCACGTGAAAAAAGCGGGAATCGAATTTTTCTCAATTGTTTTATTGGTTAATGCTGCATGATGTATTTATTATTATCTTTTTCATCTCGTTTATATTTTGATAAATATTAATATTAATTTTATTCGTGTATTACTATTCGTTATAAATGAAATATTTTGAGAGAAATAATAAAAGAAAATAATTCATAGATAGTAACAATCGGATAAATAATGTAATTATTTCTTAAATATCTAATTCTGACCTAGATGTCAGAACAAGTTAATGGATGTATATTTTAGTTTACCGTGCAAAGCTATTGCATGATGGAACCATGAACACGTCATATGTTGCTATTTCATTGAATTGAAAATTCGATTCTACCTATGAATATTATATAATTTTTTTCTCAATTTATATTTTGAATTCGTATTTCAATTATTTAATAGTATATACATATAAATAATTAAGAGTTTTCGTTCGAATTTATTGCAATTCGTTCTATTGCAAAATACATATACGAGGTTAAATAATTTGAACAAAAATGTTTTAAGCGAGGAAATGCGGTTGTATAGTCTGAGATTAATTACAGTTGCTTCTAGATTACGTAGCGTAATACTTACCTTTGATAACGATCGAATTACTATAACGTATCGAATTTAGATTCCAGTAATCAATTTAATGAAGAAATGATAAAAAAAATCAAGCAGAAAAAAAGAAATATCAATTAATTTCATAAAATTAGCTTCAATCGAAGTTTATTAAATTTATTAATAGGAAAATATGGTTCTTCTCTAATTAAAAAAAGATTAATTCTGAATGTGTGAATCAGTTACAATTTGTCACACATGCGTATAACTTATATGTCATATTCACAATATATTTAATCGCATTAATCACAAAATTTTCTATTATTATTCTTTGCAAAAAAAAGTTTTCCAAAAGACATAAGTATAAAAAATATATTTTATTCTCTTAACTATTAAAATATGCCATATTGCATATTTTATTGCTATATATATATATAATATTGCAATAATTTTGTAATATAAATATAAAATTCTATTAACATATAACGTATTATATTTGATTTTTAGATCTATTAAAAATAATTAAATTCCTATCAGAATATTCTGTTTCTGAAGTTCTTATTTTTTTTTTTTCATTCCTTTTCATTCTCGAAACACATTGAATCGATCGAACAAATATCAAAGAATAATGTAATGAATTTTTAAAAGCGCATGCGCATCGTTGGTTTATCAACGAGGATATGAAGTACAAGGCATAAATTATACTGTCCGTTAAAGCGTGAATCTGTAAACATACTTAACGTAATGATACAGTGCTCGTCGCGTTGACATTTTTGCGGCGACGCGTTTCGAACATCGACTTCGTTACGCGAATCAAGCCGTGGGGGCTGCGTAGTAATTTTCTTTTCTGCCGCATCGTTTAAATTACACGTATATCTGAACAACCAATAACTCGTTTAACTGCATCCACATACCGTAAGCGGTTTACGTTCGAGTTGAACAACTTCGGAACTATACGTTGACCCCAAACCTGTAAGAGTTAGAAAGAGTATGAGATATCTAATATCGTGCACAGTTTACCGATGAAAATGTCGTTGTGATATATTGATTACAAATGAGAATGCTTTTATAATTTCTATAATTATTTTTAATCTATTTAATTTATTGAAATTAAAATTTATGTGAAAACATATAAATTAAATATTCTCAAATAGAGTTTTCAATCAAATTGTAGAATTAAAGCAAGTTTGCTTTTATCATTCTATAAATAATAAACAATTGATATTTATACTTAAATATATATCAATGAAACAAATTGATTCTAATTTCTACTGAAATTGAAACAAGAATAGTATTAGCATTATTATTTAAAAATATATGATAAAAATGCGTATGATACTAGAAATATCTTGTAAAATTTTCAAAAATCATTACTATTTTAATCTATTGAAAAACAAATTAACAAATTAGATAAATAAATTCAATTTATTAACCCTCAAATTGAATTAATCTTCAAGTTTAATGATTGGATTATTTTTGACTGAGTGATTAGTGATAATGTTAATTAGAAAATAAAAATTATATAAATTAGAATTTATTAGTATGATCCTTCACTTTTGATTCAGCCATTATAATTTCGCGAATATCTGTATAAAGATTAATAGAATGTAATAGAACATATATATTACACGCCTACAGAGTTAAAATAAACGAAGTTCTATCGTTGTTTTTAATAGAGGAAAATCGAAGAGTATTATTTATACGATCTAATTTATTAAATTGATAGATAAGTATAGATATATTTGTATACTATATATAATACAGATGTATGTATACATTAAATGTGTATATATCACTATATATATATTAAAATATTAAATAATGATTTTAAAGACATTTCAGTGTAATACTTATTATTTGTTGATATAGTATGAGTTTTTTGTCGATAATTGAAGCTGAATTGATATGATGTTTTTCAATTAAAATTAGTTTTAGAATCTACCGACGAACTATCGATGTATTTACTTTTACTTTTATATTACGATAAGCCGATACATGTCGGAAATATTATATCAAAGTCTGTGAAATTTTTTATAGAAATACTATTTGAAACATATTCGATTACGATAGATTCTGTTTATTATTACATGGTATTTGCCACATAATTGTATATTTTTGCAATTTCGATTGTAAAATGTATATCTCGAAAATTTATTTAGAGTAAGTAAAATAGATCAACATATAAAAATGCGCCATTAATAAATCCATATTTTTGAGATTAAAAAGTTTTGTCCCAATATAGATCATAATTATGATTTTTATAAGTGATTCTGTAGTTTTATAATATTTTGCAAATAATATTTTAACTGTTCTAATTTTTTTTTTTATTAAATTTAAATACTCTTTTATTGATATTATTTTAAAAATTAGAATTATATATTTATAAGAATTATTATTTATTTAATTAATTATATTATTTATATATTATTATGATCTATTTTACAAAAATTCTTAACGAAATTTTTGCAACAAATAAAATTCATCGAAAGAGTGGAACAAGTAGAGACTTAACGCGATCTGCGACATGAAACTTGGATCGTTCCGAAGAGAGATCTAAAGTGGTTCGTTCTTCTTCTTTATAAGGATCTAGCAGAGTCAGTATCGTCTGTAGCCTCTCTTTCTGCCCTATTTCTTTCTCTCTCTAGTGGCTTTCTTACTCTCGTTTTGTACTTGCTCCATGGCTGCTGCCTTATCTAGTTACGTTACCTCTACATTGGATAGAATCCGCCATGTCAAAAACCGTATTTCATGGCGTAGTCTAAATGGAACATGAAAACCATTGGCACCAAGTCTATTGCAAAAATTGCGGTGATGAGAGTAAAAATCGTCTCTAGATACTGCTTTATCACCAGTGACATCACACAGTGCAGCACTTTATTCGGTTATCATGACTACAATAAAAACGGGAGCAACGATATCTCATCGTGAAGCAAATTAACCGATCATTACTGTGTCTTTCAAACGTCTCCGTCTCGTGTAAATCTAGCATAACGAATTTCGAACGCAATAATATAATTTTTTTATCTAACAAATAAATTAAAAAAAGTAACCACAATATTTTTCTTTTTTGATGGTGTATCTGTACAAATGAAAAATTATTAAAAACGATTTTTTTCACATGTTCAATTAATATTAGAAAAACAGCGATATTTATGCGAATTTTTTAGGAAAATCTAGTTGATTTTCGTAGTCCAAAGATAACATATTCTGAGAAAAATCTATGGAGGAATTCTCAGCATAAATAGTAATGGTTTTCCTAGATTTAGTTTCCTTTAAATCTCTGATACAATTAAACTAACACTAACATAAACTAATTACAATCATGTGTAATAAAAGAAAACATGATGTTCTAGAAATATGTCTGGATCGTCTGGAAAGAAAAGGAAATAAAATTAAATTAATTGTGCTAAAATGCTCTTGTCGCTAATCGATCTCATTTGGCAGAATACAAATCTTCAGACCAAGGGATCCAGTTAGTAAACACATTTGTAGATATCTACCTGACCTACCTTGATTGATTTCTGGTGGCCATGAGACTAAAGTACACGACTACCTGTCGACCCTGATAATTTCCGTGTGAATTACCAGCTGATTTTAAACATGTGTACATACAAATTCAGATAAGTCAAAGTCACATTTTTTGTACATAATCTTTAATTTCAAATTAAATAGCTATTAAAGATAATTGTCTAGAAAATAAACTGAATGAAATTGAATTATAAGATAATGAGAGGAAATGTTTGACAATCCCTCAATACTTAAGATAGTAGCTTAGCACGTAAATTTTTCATATTTTAACTTTCAAAATTATTTTCTATTATAAATTATTTAACAATAAATAATTTTTTTATACGTCTTATTATACGTTTTACATTACCGAGTATATATGAGGAAGTAAATATGCATATTTTCCTGGCAGAAAAATCATATTAGTATTTCCTGCATATAACATGACATTAATCAGTAAACACAGTGTAATGTATCATATAATACCACAGATGGCATTTGTATCGAGAATACCCCACCGTAAACCTGCATCTACCTAATCTACCTATCTCAATTAGCCAAGGCAATCCTCATCCTTCTCTCGTTTCAGATCGCATTAATTTTATTTTTTGTAAACCTTACTTTAGCCGACGGATCATGTATTTGCGCGAATTAAG